TTGAGAGATTGAAAACTTGAGAGATTGGGAACTTGGGAGATTGGAAACTTGGGAGATTGGAAACTTGGGAGATTGGAACTTGAGAGTTCCGGACTTGGTAACCTAAATCAGTATAAGACTCAGGGTGCTCAAGTATATGACCGCTTTGGAGTTTGAAAATTTAGCAACTTGTCAATTTAGAAATTTGCTAATCTAAAGATTTGAGGTCTGGTTTAGAGATATGAAAGTTTGAGGTCCAAGGATTTGCAGGTCTAAGAATTTTGTAGCATAGAAACGTATCTACGTTTCTACGTATCTACGTTTAGGGTGTACTTTTGAGATTTAAAAATACATTTAAAGAGTGTAGTTTACATATTAGTCCTTACGCAGTAAGCCAACGTTGCACCCGAGTGTACATCAAGGTGCATTCTCCGCGAGACAATGGGCGTGCCTACCTCACGTGACGGGCACGTGAGCACCCTCGAAAAGGGCCCTTGGTTCCTGCCGTTCATTCATACCGGTTCACCCGTTTCGTGGGCGACGCTGATGACCCTACACGCCGCGCCGCCTCGAAAAGTCAAGAAGAATCGAACGCGAAAAGAACTGGCAAAAATGTCGATATCCCCATATGCGCAATTGTTTTCGTGGACCTTGCAGGTGTACCAGCAATTGCACCATGTAAATGATGTATCGTTGTAACAATACCCCGGGCTTGACAACGTCAACGTTTGCTAACAAGAGCATACTTCAACGGGACAGTAGCGTAGGAGCCAATCTAATGAACTTGTAGATACAATAAGGCGTTGAGGCTTACGGTCTCTTTAGATTGTGTTTTTGATTGACATTTTCTATTACTATCCACTGTATAGTTTATTCTTTTTTAACGAAATTTATCAGTTTATATATTCGGTATAATTATTAGGTTTATTTCAGTGCGACATTTTTTTTTTATACAAGAAAAATGTGTGGGACTACTATACTGTGGGTGATGTTGTCAGAGAAGGATAGGGATACATAAATTTGTAGTGTAGTTAGATCTCAAGGTTCTAGGGTTTCACAATTACTAAATAAATTCAGAAGTTCGACAGTCTTAAGGTTTGATCTGAAGGTCTCACAACTCTCAGGTTCTATTATTTCAAAGTCCTACGATTTCAGGGTTCTTAAGATTTATAGTCCAAAAATTCTGAAGTTCTATATTTATTAAGGGCTGCAATTCGAAGATTCTAAAATTGCAAAGCTTCACAACTTCAAGATCCCACAATCTCAAGGTTCCAATCTTCCAAAGTTCCAAAACTCCAAATTCAAAAAATTTAATGTTCTAAAATAATTGTCAGTTCCAAAATAATATTGTGAACTCAAAAAATTTAATGTTCTAAAATAACTGTCAGTTCTAAAATAATATTGTGAATTTAAAAATTTTAATATTCTAAAATAATTGTCAGTTCTAAAATAATATTGTGAATTTAAAAATTTTAATATTCTAAAATAATTGTCAGTTCTAAAATAATATTGTGAATTTAAAAATTTTAATATTCTAAAATAATTGTCAGTTCTAAAATAATATTGTGAATTTAAAAATTTTAATATTCTAAAATAATTGTCAGTTCTAAAATAA